GCTGTCACCAATCCCACGCACGGATTTTCTGTCGCGCATGACTGTTACGTTGAACGTCGTTAGAAAAGAATCCAAAGCGCCAATCAATTTTGTACACCTAATGCCACGTAATAATTGCGATTGTGCAAAATTTTATTGGATTTTTTCCCAAGAAGAAAGCCCAGGCCGAAAGCAATAAATGCTTCTCGCCGTCCTCCTGCTTAGAGTCCTTAGTTCTTAGAGTCTAAAAGTTCTTAGAGTTCTTAGAGTCATAATTTCGCTTCGTAAAATCGCCGTGCTAACCGCTTAGTGAAACTGCTATAAAACGAATCTTTCGAGAAGTGCCGAGAAAATCGCCGAGATTTTCCATTACCGCGATTCCAAAATATCATTTGGAAAAGGTGACCGCATTTAATATTCTGTTAATCTAATATTTAATTAATTATTATTTTCTGACTTTGTAACTGAGCATATTAAAGAAAATTCTTTTGTTAAATTACAAAGAAACGGAGTTCTCTTTACTGTCGTGCATCATATCAACCTTGTGCCGTTCTCTCACTCGAATCGTTCCGCGCGGTGCGCTCTCGCACACCCATTCTTTCTCTCGTGAGGACGCAATCATATTTTCTTCGTCTGTCCGATTTTAACACAACCTTTAATATTTATTTTGATTGCAACAGAATGAATTTTTAATACTGTATGAATATATCAGATGTACAACTTTGTTTCCGCCGTTTTCCTATAAATGGCTTTAGCGGTAAGTGGTGGTCGAAATAAATAGATCATAGACGTTATACAATAAACTTGGGCATCTGTCAACGTAAAATGATATCAAATAAAACATTTTCGGTTTACAATATTAAGATCGATCCTGGCAGCTTCAATACGAAATTTGATATCTCAAATACCAATGAGAAATGGCTCATTAATCTGAGTAAGGTTGACATTCCAAATAAAGCTAAAATAGTTTTACAATTGGGTCAACATTTTAATTTACCTAATAAATTAATCAACAAAGAACGTATTACACGTGAGTTCATTAAACACGTCGAACATAATTTGTTTAAAACTAACGAGGAAATTTGTAAATCAGTCAGAAATGAGACATTCCACATTCTCAAATAAATTAATAATTGTGATACGGAATCGGCTGATAAATTCAAAAAAATTCCCTATCGTACACATGTTAATGCTCAGAGAATTTGATCGATATTCTGCAGTGACACTATTACGTATCAGTGGTGACACTATTGCGTATCAGTATTATCAGTAATGACATTATTGAATTTCAGTAATCACTATTATACATTAGCAGTTTCTTTTTCGTAAGAGTATCCGGAAAAATATCAAGTATCCGGCCGAATAATCACCCTACCAAACATCCGATCGAATATCGGATACCGGTGTCACATTCTTAATATTCGATATCTGATATCTGGTAATTTTATCATTTGATGCATCCCTAATAGGAAACGACTAACTGAAAACGCATAATATGCATCCTAGTCTCTTGAAACGAACAAAATAGATATAATTACGCAAATGTGAATTACAAAATTATATCGGTACCTTTACGACGTCTGTCCTCCTCCTTATTAGCGTTGCAGATGCCATTCAGTACTTCTACAACAGAAAAATAACTGATATAAAAGCTCTTATTTAACGAAAAGGTAATTCATTTGCAATGATTTCATTCTACGGATTTAGTATTAAAAAACATTGAATGTAGATGGAACTGGATTGAAAATAAGACTTCGATTCCTTTACATGAGTTTGTTAAACCAATTATGATCATAATTAACTCCACGTTTTTCAGATTTGATAAAAAAATATTTAAGCAGATTTTTGGCATGCCAATGGGCTCTCCTCTATCGCCTATACTAGCGAATTTGAAGTCTTACAAGACTTAAAACAAGAAATTTTCATTGCAAATAATATCATCTCTCCGTTTTATTTGCGATATGTCGATGACATTGTGTTAGCTGTACATGAGGAAAAGGTTGAAGAGGTTCTAGATTTATTTAATTCATACCACGACAGACTTAGATTTACGGTTGATTTTGGCGATGAAAACGGTATTAATTTTTTGGTTAAATTATTAATTATATTATTAATAAATTATAATGATTCAAGAAGGAAGCATCATTTTTGATATGTATAAAAAACCTATCAATTTGGGGAGATATTTAAATTATTTTTCGAATCATCCATTAGCACATAAAAAAGGAGTAATCATTGGGCAGCTTGATAGAATTTTAATGTTGTCCCATCCCAAATTTCATGAAAAGAATTTCGGAATTAATTCACACTCTTCTCAATAATGGCTATCCTCTCAAATTCGTATTTTCGACGATCAACAATAGAATAAAAACTTTGGAAAATAGAACTAATCCAGAAAAAAATCGCGAATTAAATAATAATGAATATGATTCCAACAACAAAAAATTTTTCGCGATATCATACTTAAGCAAGGTTTCTGAACAATTCAAAAAACTTGCATATATTCATGGTTTTAATATAGCTTATAAACCGATGAATAAATTAAATACAATTATAAAAACAGGAAAAGATCCCTTGCTTAAAGATGACCATTGTGGGGTAATTTATAAAATTAATTGTTTGAATTGCGAATCGTCATATGTTGGCCAAACTAAGAGAAAATTAAAAACTCGTATTAAAGAACACAAGACTGATATTAAGAAATCTACTTCTGAGATATCAGTTGTTTCACGTCACCGTGTGAATGAAATGCATGAGTTTGATTGGAATAACATTAAATTTTAGATATAGAACAATCATTGATGAAACGAAGAATTTCAGAAATGATATATATTAAAAATCAAATAAGTGGGATCAATAAACAAAGTGACACTGAAGGTTTGCCTGATGTTTATCTTCCTCTTCTAAAGAAAGATCTCTCTCGCACTTAATAAATAATTCTAGAACTTTCTAAACTATTTGGCTCATGGATATAAATAGCGAAAAAATATGTGACCATGTAATACGACCAATAACAACATAGTATCACGACAAATTTCTATCTGTGCAATGATTATACTTGAAATTCATCGATTTATTTTGCTGTAAAACAGATAATATTTCTTTTGTTTTATACTTCGTTTTAAAGGATATTAATAATAAAATAAATTATTGTAAATTAGAATCTGGAAATTCTCGTTCTACACATTTTACTATATGACTTCTGACGTTCTAACATTATTATATGAAGCAGCGTCGCATTGATGCAAACACGATTTTTACAATTATAACACACGGTTGAATTTTATTCCAACTTGATGTAACTCTGCGTTTTAAGAATATTATTAATTTTACTGATGGCCAGATTGTGGCCGAAACGTTTAATGTTTTTATTGTAATTCGTAATGCAAGAATAATTAAATATCATTAACGACATCTTGTGCTATGGTTCTTTATGCTCTTTCTTTTCATATTTTTACAAATTATATAAATTAGTAAATATGCAGTAGTCTATTACAAATGTAAAGTATTGGGTATGGGAATAAGTTTCCGTCCTTTTTAAATGAAAAAGATGTGTTTATTTAAACAAATTTATATAAGTGAGTTTATTCAAAGTATGCTCCTTCGGAAGCGACAACTTTCTCCCACCTTTCCGATAATAAACGGATTCCTCGAATGAAAAAATCTGATTCTTTTGAAGCGATCCATTCATCAAGCCATTTTTTGATACCTTCATAAGAATTGAATCGTTCTCCAGAAAGGACCGACTGCATGGATCGGAACAAATGGAAATCTGAAGGGGCAATGTCCGGTGAATACGGCGGGGGCAGAATTTCCCACTTTACTCCTTCCAAGTATTTCTTGACCGGTTTTGCAACGTGTGGCCTAGTGTTGTCATGTAACAAAATCAGCTTGTTGTGTCTATTGTCCCATTATGTCTCATATTGTCCCATATTATCCGGTTTTCTTTCAAAGCTTAAGGTTTAAACGTGTCAGTTGTAGCCGATAACGATCGCCAGTGATGGTTTCGGATGGTTTGAGCAGCTCATAATATATAATACCTCTTTGATTCCACCAGATGCACAACATAATCTTCGAAGCATGGATGTTTCGTTTTGGCATTGGACTTGGTTCACCTGGCATCACCCATGCCTTCAAGCGTTTAGGATTATCATAGTATATCCATTTTTTATCGCCAGTTATGATACGATATAGAAAATCCTTCCTTTGTTGTCATTGACGAAGCATCTCGCAAATGACCAAACGTCTTTCCATGTCTCTCTCTTTTAATTTGTATGGCACCCAATTTCCTTCTTTTTGCATCATTCCCATTGCGTGTAAACATTTTCCAATAGTGGATCTATCAACAGTTAATTCTTTTGCCAACCTATCGAGCGATAAACACGAATCTTTTTCGAGTAATGCTTGCAATTCTGCATCTTCAAATTTTTTCGGTGCACTTTCGCGTTCTTTGTCACGCACGTCAAAATCATCACTGTTGAATCATCGAAACCATTCTTTACAACTAGTTTTCGATGGAGCACGCTCACCGTAAATATCTACGAGCAAACGATGTGTTTCCGCAGCACTTTTCTTTAAAATAAAATAATGGAGTAAAACTTCCCGCAAATGTTGCTTTTTTGGAATAAATTCCGACATCTTCAACGCAAAAAAAGTTACTCTTTGTTTCGCTTGGAACGAATGCCATCTATGGCATCTATTGGGCTCAAAAGTTTGAGGACACACACCTTTCAAAAACATGTCTTGCCGTTCTATCAAACACACGAGTGTGGCGTTGCGAGCGTTAGTTGCGGCGCTGCGAACGTTAGCTGCGGCGCTGCGCGCGTCCGTCGCGACGCTGATACGGTCGTTCTTTCCATGACTCTTCCCATTCTCTCTCCGGCGTCATGGCGTGCCGCATGCAGACCTCGTGTAAGTCTCTGCGATAGTCAGTAAGTTAGAACTCGGACGTTAAAGCTCCGAATTACTTTGTGTATTCCGCGAGGCCGATACCGATCATTATTCATGTCCGCGATAATTATTAGCGTCGTCAGATAAATTCTTAGAGTGTATTTTCATAGTTCTAGTATTGTAACTCCG